ATGAATTTGTATGTTTGAGCTTGAAATACATGATCCATGTTGAATTTTGATTGAAGTTCATGCTTTTGGTCATCTCTACATCATGTAAATTGAGAATGAGAGCTATATCTCACATGCATGTACAATTCATAGGAGTATGAGTTTTGAATACATGAATTTGTTATGTTGGAAATAAGTTTGGTGTAGTTTGGGGCATGCATGTAATTAATTCATGAGATTTGAGCTTCATAATGTGATAAATCTGGTGTTGTATCATGTTAGTAAATGTATATGTGAGCTATGGGTCACAATATGCAGGTTACATTAGTTTGAATGCAAGTTTGAAGCTCAAAATGGTTGTTGCAAAACCCAGAATTTGGCATGTCCGCTCGAGCGAGGCAATGGCCGCTCGAGCGTGAAATGTTAGCTCTTAGAACTTTTGCAGACACTAGTGTGTCCGCTCGAGCGGGGATATTCATGCTCGAGCGTCAGTCACATATTTCGAACTCTCAGCTCAAGCGTCCGAAGTCACGCTCGAGCGTAAAAATGAGGCAACCAGTATTTTTGTAGACCTAAGGGGTCCGCTCGAGCGTTCAAACCCACGCTCAAGCGGGGAGCCCTGTTTCTGAAATTTTGAAAATATGTTTAGTGTTTCATTTTTCCGTTCTCCTTCATTTCTAAGCACTCTTAGGCATACATTAAGTATTGTGAATGAGTTAAAAGGATAAGAAAGAAGCCTGAGAGAGATGTATGAATTAAGAACGGATTGAATTGTTTGTGACCCATTATGTTTATAAAATGTGTAGGGTCGGCAGAACACTGTGAGTAATATCTTAGTAAAGATATTTGAAGTATGTTATTTGTTTAATTGCTTATTTCTGTATAAGCCTTATAAGTTTGTTAAATTGAATTGTTGACGAATATTTGTTATGCCAAATGATTGGGCCAAAGATCTTTGGATACAATTGACTAGGCCGAAGGCCGTTCGACATGCATGAATGATTAGGCCGAAGGCCGTTTGACATGAATGATTGGGCCAAAGGCTGTCGAATACCGTTTGACATGAATGATTGGGCCGAAGGCCGTTTGACATGAATGATTGGGTCAAAGGCCGTCGGACACTGTTTGACATGAATGATTGGGCCAAAGGCCGTCAGACACCGTTTGACATAAATGATTGGGCCAAAGGCCGTCGGACATCAATGATTTGAGCTTGAGGCCGTTTGTTAAGGAACGAAGTGGGCCAGAGGCCGTTTGATATGTTCGGGCTTGAATCGCCTAACGTACTAAACAATGCACTAAATAGAATTCTAAATGGGCCCAAAGCCATCTGATATATGTGAATCGCATTCATGTACCTTCTTTATTTGATATTATTCACTGGGCTTTCACTCACACTCATTCATGTGTATGTAGGTGAGCAAAGAGATGTCTAAACCCAGCCCCGGTGAAGTGTAAGAAAAGTCAAAGTTTTGAGGAGTCAGCCTTAGTGTCTTACGTACGAGACTCGTTTTTGCCCTTTTGTTCTTTCGTTGTGTTACAATCTCGAAATGTTGGCGAAAACGTTGAATCACCCTTGTATATAAGTTTGGCTTGGCTGACTAAGACTTGAATGATCCTGTGTGTATAAAACTTTAAGTTATTTTCCTTTTGATGTGAGTTATTAATGAATACATATGTTTTACACGTTTGATGTGCCACGTAAGCACAGCTCTATGGACAAAAGTTTAAGTTTGCTTTCGTTTGGCCCCTTGACTCTGATGGAATATCTTTTGTCTGGTTGAAGGCTGTAGGTAATCCCTTGATTACTGGCCGGCTATGACCTTAATCTGTAGGGGCGGGTTCGGGTCATGACATGAATACACTCTAGTAACAAATCTTGGATATAGAAATAGTGATATAGACTCATAAAAAGGAAAAAAAACTTATTTATAATTTTAGGATGTTTTGATTTTAGATCCACTATACTTCCAAAATAAGAACAGTATCTAAAGATTTTGACCGTTACCTGAGCGTAGTCGGCGTAGGGCTCTGGCATTGGCAAGCTTCTAGTTTACAGAAGTGGCTAACCTCAAGCTTTCTTTCCTTAGATCAGGCTCAACATAGATCCGTTTTGTTTACTACCTCAGACCATAACTTCATAAATTGCTTCTTTAGTTATGTAGGAGACTTAAGATTAATAACTTGACATACAATAGTAACACACTTTTTTTGGAAATAAAAGCTTTTTTATTTATTGAACAAAAAATTACAAGGGATGTCTGTAGACTGTTGGATTGTTAGAGAATTGTCATTACAAAAATTTCAATTTTTTGCAACGGCAAAATGCCGTCGCTAATACACCTAATTCTGCCTCAAAAAAAATTTAGCGACGGCAAATGACTTTTAGCAACGAAAAAAGGTGGGTCACAATAGAGGGTGCTGCAAAAAAAGTTTTAGCGATGTCATGCTGCCGTTGCCTTTTTTTTTTTTTTGTGACGGCAAATGTTGGCTTTCGTGATGGTATTTTACTATCGCCTATAATATGTAAAAAATGAGACCTTTTGCGACGACAATACATCTACCGTCGCTAAAACTTTTATTTGAGACAGCAAAAGAAGCTGTCGCAATTTTTTTTTTTTTTTTGAGACGGCATTACCTCTGTCGCCAAAAACTAATTTGCGACAGCATTGCCTATGTCGCCAAAAAATTTACGTATTAGGTCTAATGTTTGTGCGATGGTATGGTGTCGTCACAAAAAATAAAAAATAAAAAACTTGCAATAAAATTATTAAAAATATTAAAATTACATGTATTAAATGAAAAAAAAAATTGAAAAAAAACCAATAATTGCATAATAATATAAAAATTACTGTCTAGAAATAACAATTTGTTCATAATAAAAATATTCTTATATTCATAACTAAACATCAACAAATTACCCCACTACAGAATGTTGCATAATACATATATAATGTTTAAGTATATAATGTTGTTCACAATTCAAACTAACATAAACCGAAAACAAAAGTTTTCCTCATTATTCTCCGTGGATAACAAAAAAAAAAAGTTAGTTGCATTCTTCACCGGCATGCATTCCACAAGAAGCAAACTCCTACTCGGGCAATATCTGAAAACAAAAAACAAGAATAATTAAAGACAATATAATTATGTGTTAAAAAATATAAAAATTTAACAACTATACAATTACAAAGATAATTAAGTAAACAAATTTGTCCAGACTGAAATCCGGCTCTAACTTCCAAATCGAGAACCCGATTTGAGTCCCATCTTCTCCCACAAGTCTTTCGTGCCGAGGTGGTCGTGTGTGCCAAGTTTCGTGCTAATCTGACGTTGTTTGGTGATTTTTGGGTGTTAACACCTCAAATTCTAAGTTTCTTAAGGAACTAGTTTGCCGAGACTGAAATGCTCTAACTCCCAAACCGGGAAGCCAATTCGAGTCCTGTCTTCTCTTACAAGTCTCTTGTGCCTATGCGGTCGTGTGTGCCAAGTTTCGTGCTAATCCGACGCCGTTTGGTGATTTTGGGACGTCAACACCTCGAATTCTAAGTTTCTTAAGGAACTAGTTTACCGAGACTGAAATCCGGCTCTAACTCCCAAACTGGGAATCCGATTCGAGTCCTATCTTCACCCACAAGTCTCTCGTGCCTAGGCGGTCGTGTGTGCCAAGTTTCATGCTAATCTGACGCCGTTCGGTGATTTTTGGGCGTCAATATCTCAAATTTTAAGTTTCTTAAGGGACTAGTTTGCTGAGGCTGAAATTCGACTCTAACTCCAAAATCGGGAACTCAATTTGAGTCATGTCTTCTTCCATAAGTCTCTCGTGCCTAGGCGATCGTGTGTGCCATGTTTCGTGGTAATCCGACATCGTTTGGTATTTTAAGGAGTCAACACCTCGAATTTTAAGTTTCTTAAGGAACTAGTTTGCCGGGACCGAAATTCAGCTCTAACTCCCAAATCGGGAATCCGATTCAAGTCCTGTCTTCTCCCACAAGTCTCTTGTGCCTAGGCGGTTGTGTGTGCCAAGTTTCGTGCTAATCCAACGTCGTTTGGTGATTTTGGGGCATCAACACCTCGAATTCTAAGTTTCTTAAGGAACTAGTTTGCCGAGATCGAAATCCGGCTCTAACTCCCAAACCGAGGACTCGATTCGAGTCCTGTCTTTTTAACTTCTAAATCAAATTATATGGTTTGGAAATTGGAAATCAACTTCCTAATGAAGCATTATGATTCAGCTATATCTTTGCTTCATAAGTTGATTTCCAAACCATAGGTTTTCCATTCGGAAGTAAATGTCCAAACCATGTAATTTTGTTTGGACATCAAATTCTGAACGAAAATGGATGTGTGAACTGAGAGAAAGTTGTGGGTGGAAATTGAAGCTTCCATAATTAGACAGGAAAAAAGAATGGTTACATGTATATAATAAAAGTAGATAATAGAAAGTGTGTAAGATGACTTGGATTTATGTAAAGAAATCACACTGCAGTCAGGGACAGATCTAGGATTATGACTTTGGGGGGGCCAAAGTACGTTTAACCGCTAACTAACAAAATTTGAAATTCAATACCAATTTCTACTAGTATGAAAAAAATCAATAATGTTACGATAAAATATTGAACTATATATTCCTTGTCAACATAGTTGAGTACCAAAAGATGATCATACAATTGAGAATATTTTTTTGCCCATATTCACTTACAAAAAGTAGTAACTATTTCTACATGCATTTATTTACTAAAATTAGGCATTTTCAATTGAGCTCGACGTTTTTTCATAATATGAAAAGCATCGATGATAAAGTCTACATCAAACCCTCGAGCAATGTCCTTTTCAATGTACGTAATCAAGTAACTGGCCAGAAAACCATCTTCCATCCTATTGCGCAATTTAGACTTAACGAGTTTCATAGTTGAAAATGCACGTTCTGATGTAGCAGTTGAAACAGGTAAAGTCAACACAAGACGGATCAATCTATCAATAAGAGGATAACTTGTCGACTTTTTTGTTTTTGCCAACATTTAGCACAACTCAGAAATGGTTGACAGCTTCTGAAACTCGGGAAGTATGGAAATATCAAGCTTATAGTTTTCTAACTGATACTTCAAATGCAATTTTTCTTGCTCGGAGAAATCCATGGGATAAAATTTATCTGCAAGTTTGCAAATATCCTCAATGTTGAATGATCTATAACCATTCCTAGGATCCAAAGCTGAGCTAAGAACAAGCAATTCTATTACATCTTCCTTAAACCTATTGTTTAATTCTTATAATTGGAAATCAACTGTAACCATAAAAATATCAACTCGAAAATGATGTTCCATGGTGAGCTGATCTCTGTCAGAACGAGACCGACCTCGGCCTCCTTTATAAGGACAACTCATATCAGGAATCTGTATACCATGATCATTAGAAAATAATTTAATTTTCTCCAACAATGGAACTCATCTATCTTCTCTAAATTTTTGAATAAGTATCTTCGTTGTAGACACCAAATGCATTGCATTTAATATATCTTCAGATTTACTTTGCAAAGCTTGGCAAAGATCATCAGTAATCTCCATGATATCCCTCATAAAATGTAAGATGAAGACAAACTCAAAAGATGTAATGGAATCATAAACTCCATCTGCCTTAGCTCGTTGATTCGATTTGCTTCCATCATTAATTATGTTTCTTAGGACGGCACAAGTAGCACTGAACATGTTTATCAAACTACAAATGGAACCCAAATGAGAACCCCATCGAGTATCTCCAGCTCGTTTCAATGTTCCAATCTGATTTTTTTCTTTACTAGTCTCGAATTCATCATCAATGGCAAGTTTTTCAGCAATATCTGCAGCCTGAGCAGCTCTTAATTGATCATGTCTTTTGCAAGATGAGCCAACTATATTAATTGCTTGAGTCAAGTAAGAGAAAAATTGATTGATAGATATAACCTGTTTAGATGCTCCTACTAAAGCCAATTGGAGCCGATAAGCAAAGCAATGAACATAATATGCGAATGGACACTCAGCACAAAATAGAGCCTGCAACCCAGTCCATTCTCCAGACATGTTACTGGCACCATCATATCCTTGACCATGAATATTTTGCACACTAAAGTTATGAAGAGAAAGGACAATACAAATTTCTTCTTTCAAAGTTGCCGACGTGGTATCTAACACATGGACTATGTCAAAGAAATGCTCTTTTATAAAACCATATTTATCAACAAATCTCAAAACAATTTCCATTTGCTCTCTTTTCGATTCATCTTCAGATTCATCAACTAGAATGCAAAACTTCCCATCATTAATGTCCTTACGAATGAATCTTTGTATCTTATCAGAGAAAATACTAAGAATCTGCTTTTGAATACCATGGGAATGATAGGAAGCATTTTGAGGAGCATTTTCCAAAACCACTGCTGCCACATCCTCATTATAAGAAGCCAAGAGCTTTATCAACTCAATAACATTCCCTCGGTTGTTAGATTCGTGGCGTTCATCACGACCTCTGAAAGCGCAGGCTTGGAATGGTAACCATTTAATCACATCTATCGAGGTTTTCAATCGCAAACGATTTCTAGCAATTTGTATGGAAGTTTGTTTTTCAATAATTGCCTCAATATGTTACGCTTGATTTGTTAAATCACAACAACATTTGATAGCAACTCTATGCGATGAGTTAGGATCCTTGCCCATATGCGATAACAAAGGACAATTCTTCCCTTCATTGACTTTCTTCCAAGAAGAAAATCCCTCGACTGTAAAAGCACTAGATCCAGGGCGTCTAGTTGGCTTAGTAAAAAGAGAACATGGAAGGCAAAACGCACGATTTTTTGTTGGAGAGTATTCCAACCAATCCGGGAATAACTTGTACCAAGAATCTAAAAAACAACGCCCATTCTTATCAATTTCAAAAGGTTGATTATTTGGAGCCTTGGGTTGATATGGCTCGGATTTGATATAAGCACGTCTGATCTCATCACGTTCAGATACCGGATAATCCCATATTTTTGACGCAACCCCGGATCCCTCACCAAAGAAGATGTATCAACATCTTTAGATTCGACTCTTGGAAGTTTAGAAGGACGTTGTTCCAAAGGAGTTGAAGTTTCAACATTATTGGTGGAACTTTGAATGATATTTTCAAAACCTCTTTTCTTAAAGAAGAAATCAATTTTTTTGTTCGCCATGATTAACTTAACAATTGTACCTAAATCACAAACTAGCAGACAATTGGACCACCCATATTCAAACTTCAATCAACAGCCATAAATATGAAAACAATCACCTCAAATAAGCCCATTAATTCTTAGACATAAATAATAATTGTATTTGAATAAAAAACTAACAGACAATTGGGGCACATATTGCATAGACAGAAATATGAGTATAATATAAGCTCAAAAAACTAACTGAAGAAAAAAAAGAAAACATATTGCATAAATCCCAATTAATCTCAGACATAAATTATTGAAACTTCAACCAACATAGACAGAAATATGAGTATAATATAAGCTCAATTCATCGCTATCTCACAATTGAGCCAACTGTATGCAAATTTATTTAATACCCTTCCCAAAAAATTAAAGCAAATTAAAGTTGAGAGCAAATCCATACATGATATAATATAACTTTAAAGCAAACCCAAAAAAGCAAACCCATATATGATATAATATAACTTTAATCCCAAAAAAGCCACAAAGATCAACAATGAGAATATTAAAGTTGAGAGCAAATTTATTTGATTACCTTCTTGAGGAGTCAGGACAAGGGATGGGCTAGGCGTTGTGTTGCACTCCGTAACTCCGTATCGGTCGTCTCTCTTATGCTGCTTCTCAGACTCAGTTGTTTTGTTTACTTTATTTTAGACTTAGTGCTTCTTAAGCTTCCCCAGTAAGTCTTGGATTGTATATTATATATATATATTTAAAAGTTTCATATTTACACTTTAACCCACTAAAGTGTTTAAAATTTTGTTTTCATTTTGATCTAATTTAAAAAATACATATACATGAAATTTAAAATAAATTATTATATATGTTAAATAATTCAAAAAAACAAAAATTCCAAATAGTTTAAAAAATTGGGGGCTACTCTATATAATTTTGAAAGTATCTAAAAAAAATTTGAGGGTGCGAACTCCTATAATTTTAAATTATTTTAAAATTTCTAGTATAATATATGATATTTTTCAAATTTTTGGGGGTGCGGTTGCCCCCCCCCCCCTAGATCCATCCTTGACTGCAGTAGAGGAACAAGAACATTACAGTTTTCTTGACTAGGTGGTGCCAGGGGAGATAATTTCTTTTCAAACTTTTGGGTTGGTAGATTCTCCATTTCCTTGGAATCAGATGGGTGTACAACCTTAGAAGAGATATTGGACCCAAATCTTTTTGAAGAAACTGGATTTCCTTCTGTAGCTATACATGGAATAGCATGTTAGAGCAGCAAATGGAGAATACAGCTGGAAGCAATATCAGCACAGGAAACTGAAGATAATTTATTGGGTATCAAATACGATCCCTACCTGAGAAAAAACCTGAAAATAACATATTTAACCATGTTTTATGCCTATGAAAGCACATCAGACGAATGTAGGCCAACTGCCAACCCACCTTTAAAATAACACAAGAATCAGTCCAGTCCCAACTTTCACAATAGCCCAGCATGAACCACGATGCTTAAATTTAGCATGAATTGAATTTGGACTATTGGACCAATGGAGCTTCATGTTGGACAACAGGGCAAGTATTGGCTTTTAACCTACCATTAATTCAGAGTGGAGAGGGAGTTGTTAGTTTTGAACAGTTTAGCTTCCAATCTGATACTGGTTAATCAAGTTGACAGACATAAAGATCAAGTATGTCTCTGATTTTTCACAAATTAAAAATAATGCTATACAAACATAAATTTCTCACAAATTTTTCTATAACCTTATATCGACCTCTTTTTCATAAGAAGATTTTTCCGTGCTTCTAAGGCAATGCCTCCACAATTTTCAGGAGCTAAATTCCCTACGTTTAAGGTGGATTCAATGTGGTCATGTGAAAGTATGGCCCTATGGACATATATACAATAATTTCTCTATGCCGTACTTCGAATATTGAAGTATGTGCAGGTGAGGGGGGATTTGAACAAGACTATTTTAATCGAACCAAAAAAATAATAATAATAATTTCCACATACTATTGCAGCCATTCATCATATAGTACTTAGGCTCTATGGGCAAAAAAATAAGAGCATATTCGGAAAATATACCTCATTTCAAAATCTAAACTTTCATTGATGAAGAATATATAATAATCGAATCTTCAAAAAGGGGGGAAAATAGTAGTTAGTAGAAGAATATATCAACCAACATAACCTGCCATGAAAAGAATTACAAAGTATTTAATTAATTCAGATTTCGACTAGAATTGCATCATCATCCATTTGTTAACATAAAAAACCAGATATCACACCAAACTTCAAGGCTGGTTTTAATAATGTCTCCCTAAAAAGAACAACAATTAGGTCAATGACTACAGGGAAGTGCTCAAAATGTAATGTCTTAGAAGCAAAGGTGTCATGTGTCCAAACGATTGACACATGTACCATCGACCCTAACCAAAGTTTCAATTCCATGGAATGAAAGACCCTGCCAATGAGCAGGCAAACATGTTGCTTGCTACACAAAAAATACTCCTATTCGACGAAGTTTGGGCATAGATAACCTCATTAATACAACCCACATTCGATACAAAACTACAAGTTACTTCTATTTTAAGTTTCTAAGGAAAGCACTAAAAGCTACCACAACTTTCAACAAACTATTTATCGTTAAATTTCACATCCCACATTATATGGCCTACTAGTAGACACTCCTTGTTAAATCTTTGACAATCCGTTCTTAATTTCTACTTTTTCAAACCTTTCATTAATCCTCACACAATTTCTATGACATGTTATTAAAGATTTTTTTATGAAGCCTATTTGAAAAAGGAAAAAGAAGATACAGTGAAAATGTTTGGAGAGACTGACTATTAAAACCTCCGGATATCTTTAGGTGGCTTGAAGTGGAAAGGATGAGTTTCAGGGGTGGCATTTTCATCCTCTTTCCACATCTTTATGGTCTTGTCCACTTCACAAGTGACTGACCTTGAACCAGTAACATCATATGAGAAAGCATAGATACCAGCTTCGCTATCCAACGACCCTAAAACAAAGAACATTAATGTTCACCCTTTTCCTGCCGATAAAGAAAGATGTCCGGGACGTCATGGAATCTAAGGTGCATAAGATACATACCAAGCTGTACAATTGTTTGGGATTGCGGGAAATTATGACCACTCTTCCAGTCCCAGAACCATAAACTTCCGTTGTCACCTTTAAAAACAAGCACAAATTTAATAAGGAAGAAAGGCAATTTGCAAATCACTGTAAGAATGAGAAAGTAATTGCAATTTCATGAAAATCATTTTGAGTCGAGTCTTTACTATGTTTTCGTGCAAGTGCTATTTGATAAGTTACACAAGACTAACAAAAATATTCATTTAAAATCACAAGTATTTTGCCTAACCATTTCTTTTTTCAATTCCCCCATGAAAAAGAAAGAGATTTCGATAATACATTTTGTAAAGAATATATGCACCCCTCATCATTATCTTGAATTGAATCAAAATTATGTGAAACTTATTAGATTCTTTCCTCCTGTAGCCATTACACCATCTTCATTGACTGCCATTGCATTGATGATGGTTTTCTGCTAAGAGTTGTATGAACAAAGGCCACCAATACCAATGTTAAATATTTGAGTATTGAAATTAATGGACATGATAAATTAAAGTTCAGAAAGAGAGAGAAGCACACAGTATACTCAATGTTTAAACTTCCTATTGAATTGAGGTGTATGGGATGATTGGTATAGGTGGCAAAAAGATCATTCAATCAGGTGAAGGAGTTTTATTAGCTGGAAGAATAGATTTTTGAATCTCTTCATAGAATTGGAGCAATTTCCCCATTTCCAAAATATAATAATGAAGAGAATAAAAACAACAAAAAGAAAGAAGGGAAAAAAAAAAGATAATAATGCCAAAATATTCATGGGGAAGAACAAACTGTACATCTTGTAGTAGCATTGGAATGATGTATATGTATAAATATTTTTTTAAAAAATAAAATATACTCATAGCATGTTGTGTATAAATTCCCCTTTTGGAAGGTTGAATTTTTTTATGTTGTCAGCTGATATAGATGCAAAATGTGGAGAAGTGGTTTGGAAATATTCCAGAATCTAGTTAGACGTCCTTGATCCTCTGATTGCTACCTGAAAAAATGGATGAACACTTCAGTCAGGAGTGTCGGAATTAACACTCCGACGAACAAGTCAATATTCTCTGTAATTTACTTCTATCTTAAGTTATCTTGTAAATTCTCACATACCTCCTTTAGCTGACATTCCTCCATTTTTATATTACATCTGGGCCCAAGGGTCGGGCCCACTCTTGATCTCGCACATAGTTCCTTAGTCGGCCTTCCAGTTGCGTGTTGGCTCCTATTCGACTCCTTTTATGGCCGATTCGTATATTCGGCTTCATGAGCCCCTAGTCAGGGCCGAATTGTCTTTGGCCTAACGTCGATCAAATGCCTTGGCCCCTTTCTAGTATATTTTATTTGGCCTCCACAATTGCCCCCCGAACATCTGACTAATACCAATT